GAAGAATGCGTAAATGAATATTCTGCACAGTTTAAGAGGTAAAATCCCCTTAAACTTAACAAAAAGTGTCAGTATTGTTTGAAAGGTAATATCCCTTTAAAATTGAAATTGACCTCAACCTCAAAACTGGGTTTAATGCTGAAACATTAAAAAAAGTCACTTCAAGTCAGGTTTTTTTTTAACCCTTAAAACCATGGAAAACCCATTAATAAGACAATATATACCTTAACACCTAAATAATTATTAAGGGATTAGCCAAATATTCTACATTAATCTGTAACGAAAGTTTAACATTAGTTTTTAAGTCTTCAACTGTCATTATGAAACCAAACCCCTTAAATTTTACCTCACAAACCCTTACATTGACCCTTTAACAATTCCACTTTAACTGTGGAATATTCTCCACAGTTTAAGAAGTAAGATACCCTTAAAATTTGAATAGACCTGTAACATTGAACAAGTAAAAAAAAGTCACTTTAAATCAGGTATTTTTTTAACCCTTAAAACCATGGAAAACCCATTAATAAGACAATATACACCTTAACACTTAAATAATTATTAATGGATTTACCAAATATTTTAAATTAATCTGTAACGCAAGGTTAACATTTGTTTTTAAGTGTTCAACTGTCATTATGAAACCAAACCCCTTAAATTTTACCTTCCAAACCCTTACATTGACCCTTTAACAATTCAGATACTTGTATGGGTGCTCTGTGCACTTTAAGGGATTATAAAGTATTGTAATATGGCCTACACATGAATATTCTCCACAGTTTAAGAGGTAAGATGACCTTAAAATTTGAATAGACCTGTAACATTGAACAAGTAACAAAAGTCACTTTAAGTTAAGAGTGTTTATAAGTGTATAATGTGTTATTAATTGTTTTAAAAAAAAAAAAAAACTTGATTAAAAGTGACTTTTGATTGTTCAATGTTACTGTATTGAGCCCAGTTTGAGGTTGAGGTCATTTTAAGGGGATTTTACCACTCAAACTGTGCAGAATATCAGTTTATAGGCTGTATTATAATACCACATAACCCCTTAAACTGTGCAGAGAGCCCAATAAAAGTATCTTAATTGGTAAGAGGTCAATTTAAGGGTTTGTAAAATAAAAATATAAAGAGACGTTTACCTTTAGTTGAAGATTATTTTAAAATATTTGGTAAATCCCTTAATAATTATTAAAGTGTTTAAGTGTGTAATGTGTTATAAATACGTTTTAAGGGTTTAAAACAAACCGTTTGATTTAAAGAGGCTTTTGTTACTTGTTAAATGTTAGTCAATTTAAATTTTAAGGGGATTTTACCTCTTAACTATGCAGAATATGCATTTACGAGCCATATTACAATACAACATAACTTCTTAAACTGTACAGAGAACCCAATAAGAGTATCTTAATTGTTTCAGGGTCAATTTAAGGGTTTGTGAAGTAAAAATTAAAGGAGATGTTTACCTTTAGCTAAAGACTAACTTAAATTATTTGATAATCCCTCAGTAATTATTTAAGTGTTGAGGCATGTATGGTGTTCTTAATGGATTTACTGCATACTTTAAGGGTTTTTAAAACACCCTTTATTTAAAGTGACTTCTTTTTGATGTCAGAGTCATTTTAAACTTTAAGGGGATATTACCTTTCAAATAATACTGACAAAAATCTATCTCTGTACATTGATGTAGCATTTAAGTACAGGGCGGATGGATACGCTGTTGCTCAACAAAAAATAGTTCCCCTAAAACTTTTTTTTTTTAACATTTATATTACGGACGCTAAGCTACGCTCATCGCCTCCATACAGACATGAGAGAGACATCGCACTTCTTTTCCAGCACTTGGAAGAAAGCAGATAATATTTCACTCTAATACTCAGCAGGTCCCTTAACCAAACCACACTGTGCCGTTTGACATTTTTAGAAAGTATGTCTTCCGTAACTGAACGACAGACTTTGAATAAGAGAAGAAGACTGTCTGAAGTGTGGATCTCTACTTCAGGAGGTTTAGAAATATGTGCAGCTGCCACGAGGAATGAGCAGATACTCATCAGAGGAGCGTTGAGGAAGGACGGGTTAGAGTTACAAACGTCCACCAAAAGCCATGAGTCTTTTTTGAGGGGGAGGTTTTAAACTGGAAACACAGGCAGCAGGAAGACGCATAAAGACAAACAAAGTGAGAATAATAAGAGGTTTACGTCTGTGTGACTGACTGACAACACTCCTGGTGTGGCACTGTGGTGATTAGAGGGTAAGACCTCAGCAGGCTTAAGCAACAAGAGTGATTAGGACAGACAATAATAACTTTGAGACAGAGAGCTCCACACAGACCATGGATCAGGTTTTATTCTGTCCTTAAGGCTGCATCTCAGTTTACATGATACGTTCCTCCTTATTTAATAAGTCCTCATTCTTTCTTACTGATCTAAACTCCTAACAGTCTCCACCCTGTGGTTGTATGACTCCGCCCACCAGTCCACCCTGTGGTTGTATGACTCCGCCCACCAGTCCAGTGTCTCTGACAGTCTCCATCCATGTCAGTGAAAACATGGATGCTTCACACACAGAAGATCTATACAATCAGCACAGTTTCAAGATTAGAGTCACCAATTCAGTATCTGACCCAATGTCTCCCCTTCTGTTCCTGAGATATGATGTTAAAACATGATGATGTCACAGTCAAGCTGACCTTTGACCTTTTGACCTTCATTATTTTATCCTGTTAGACGCTTGTGTGACGTTTTGTCGTAATTAGCGCATGAATTCTTGGATTATGGCCAAAAACATCTTGTAAGGTCACTGTGACCTTTGACCACCAAATTTTAATCAGTTCATTGTTGAGTCCAAGTGAACATCTGTGCCCAATTTGAACAAATTCCTTCACTGTTTGAGATATTTCATTCACAAAAATGAGACTGTCAAGGTCACAGTGACCTTGACCTTTGACCACCAAAATCTAATCAGTTTATTATTGAGTCCAAGTTAGAGTTTGTGCCAAATTCCCTCAAGGGATTCTTGAGATATCGTATTCACATGAATAACACAGACAAGGTCACAGTGAACTTGACCTTTGACCTATGACCACCAAAATACAATTAGTTTGTCGTTGAGTCCAAGTGGACATTTGTGCCAAATTTTAAGAAATTCCCTCAATGTACTTCTGAGATATCGCGTTCACGACAATTAGATGGATGCAAGGTCACAGTGACTTTTGACCTTGGACTGCCAAAGTCTAATCAGTTCATCGTTAAGTACAAAATTCGAAAAACATCCTGCTTACACCTTCTTGAGATATCGTGTTCATGAGAATGCAACTGATGAGGTCACAGTGACCTTAACCTTTGACCACCCAATTCTAATCAGTTCATCCTTGAATCAAAGCAGATTTTTGTGCCAAATTTGAAGAAATTCTCTCAAGGTGTTGTTGGGGTATCACATTTACATAAGACAGATGCAAGGTCATGGCGATCTTGACTTTTGACCGCCAAATTGTAATTAGTTCATCCACAACTCCAAGTTGACATTTGTGCCAAATTTGAAGAAATTCCCTTAAGAAATCTTGAATTATTGAGTTCACAAGAATGAGACAAATGAGGTCACAATAACCTTGACCTTTGACCTATGACCCCCAAAATATTATCAGTCCATCGTCGAACGTAGTAGTTCTAGCTACTTCTTGCTAATTGAGGGTCGGTGTGCTGATGAAATGCTCACGGACTAAGAAACAAGAATCCCTTAAAATACAATAACTTAATCCTAATGCACACCCAAAAACACGATAGTTTATTATTGTAGTAAAACACCCTTTAATTTTAAAGTTAATCACAACCAAACCACCTTAATTTGTAAAGCCCAAGATGAACTTACTGATGCCCAAATTATCAATTTAAGGTGTTTACCTTAACTTTGCTTCAAATAAGAAGCAAATTCAGGTGTCTTTCTTGCTTGTTAAGGGGTTTATTTAATGCACTATTTACAGATTGCAATACATTTAGGGGATTAAATTGGGTTTATGTGTAGATTAAAGTGGGTTTAAGGGGTAGAAACCCCTTAAAAAATATCAAATTTTGTTAAAGCCATTCCTGATTTTCACCTAATTACATATTAAGCCTCCTTTAAGGCATGGGCCAAAGTGAATAGATGACTTTCATGTTATTTTGAAAATTTTAAGGGGATTTTACTCCCTAAACCCCTTCGACCTCAATAAATACATTAATCAATTCAAAAAACAGCATTAAAAGTGCATTAATTGTTGTTATAGAGTCAATTTGAGGGTTTGTAAGATCACAACTTTTCCCTTCAGATTCATTTAAAATATTTGGAAAATCCCTTAATCATTATCAAGGTGTATACTGTGCTATTAATAGTTTTTCTGCACAGTTTTAACAATTTTTAAAACACCCTTGACGTTAAGTGATATTTGTTACGTGTATGTCACAGAGTTAACCTTAGTTTTGAGGTTGAGGTCAATATAAATTTTAAGGGGATTTTACCTTTTAAACTGTCCACAATATTTACGTAAAGGCTATATGACAATACATTATAATCCCTTAAATCATGCAGATAACCCAATAATTGTACCTTTGACTTAAAGTTGCTCAGTGTTAATGGGTTGATGAGGTCAATTTCAGTTTTAAGAGGATATTACCCCTCAAACCGTGCTTGACATTTACCGTGGCTATATCACAATCCAGTATAAGCCCTTAAACCATGCACAGGACCCCCAAAAAGTACCTTAACACATCATATACAGGCTATAGTGTTAGTAAGGTGCAGATTCAGCGGTGGCTTGGTTAAATGTCACAGGGTTGACCCCGGGGCCAGGTTAGGTTCATTTAAAAACCCCTTAAACTTTTTAAATAACAAAGATATATAACAATCCATTGGTTTATACCGTCATTGCGTCGTTATGAGAGTAGTATTGGAAGGTAAAAAGTTAAGGGATTGGGTTTCACAGTGACAGGAGGACATGGTGTCCCGCTGCCGTCAGGGCTGAATGGAAGCTTTACCTTCTCCTGCGCTCTGGTGAGTCTCTTCTGGACGTTGATGGCCAGTTTCCCGGCGGTGACCCCTTTCCCTATCTCGGCCATGTCGCGTGGCGTGGAGGGCTCCCCGGCGGTGTCAGGACGAGCGAAGAAGAAGGAGAGAGACAGACGGAGAAATGTCGCTGAGGGAGAGACCCTGCTCTGGGAACCGACGGTGCGTAAAACCCCTCCGGAGGACGGCTTGGCTCGCTGCGCGTAACTCTAATCCTGGTGACAGCTTCTTAAAGGTGCAATGCGTAATTGAATCCGGTTTATGTGTGACAAAAGAAAAACAACAACAGAAAGCAGGTTTGGAGAGCAGAGCAGAGCAGAGGGACAGATTCAGATATCGCCCTGATGTGGGCTCTCACTGTTAATTGATGAAGACTCGATGTGGAGAGATATTAAGTTTCCTCCTCAGTCATCCTCTTAAAGGCGCAGCAGGTTGTTATTATTAGCCGACATCTGTTGCATACATGCAACTGGTGTGTTGCCGTCTTTACACACGGCCTTATTTCTGCACACACAGTCAGATGTGAGGGCTAAATCAGTCCTGATCCCCTCTGGAGACGCGCTTTCATCGGCTGCACACAGACGCTGACAGACATGCGGCAGAGCGCACCTGCTTCTTAATTACAAAGCCTGTAGATGTCAGTAGAGGTGCGTTCACGTGTCAGCAGGTGGTCATCCACGCCATCATGCAAATATGGACTGACCCAGGAGCGTTTCTAGAACCTCTGTCGGGGGCTCCTCCCCCAAGAAATTTATTTACCATAAGCTCTATTTTAATGCTTTTTTAATGCACTCTGGCATCTTATTCACCCTTAAACTGTTTATTCATTTTAATTTATTTTATTTTACAGATTATTGAAAAATACTGACAAAAACTAAAAATTATTATCGTCTCGTTTGAGGACAGTGGGACTTTATTATTGTCTCGTTTGAGGACATTGGGACTCTATAATCGTTTTGTCTGAGGACACCGGGTCTTTACTATCGTCTGGTTTGAGGACATTGGGACTTTATTATCGTCTGGTTTGAGGACATTGGGACTTTATTATCGTCTGGTTTGAGGACATTGGGACTTTATTATCATCTGGTTTGAGGACATTGGGAGTTTATTATCGTCTCGTTTGAGGACATTGGGACTTTACTATCGTCTGGTTTGAGGACATTGGGACTTTACTATCGTCTCGTTTGAGGACATTGGGACTTTACTATCGTCTGGTTTGAGGACATTGGGACTTTACTATCGTTTCGTTTGAGGACATTGGGACTTTATTAACGTTTCGTTTGAGGACATTGGGACTTTACTATCGTCTCGTTTGAGGACATTGGGACTTTATTATCGTCTCGTTTGAGGACATTGGGACTTTATTAATGTTTCGTTTGAGGACATTGGGACTTTATTAACGTTTCGTTTGAGGACATTGGGACTTTACTATCGTCTCGTTTGAGGACATTGGGACTTTACTATCATCTCGTTTGAGGACATTGGGACTTTATTAATGTTTCATTTGAGGACATTGGGACTTTATTATCGCCTCGTTTGAGGACATCGGGACTTTATTATCATCTCGTTTGAAGACACTGGGATGTTATTATCGTCTCGTTTGAGGACATTAGGACTTTACTATCTACTCGTTTGAAGACATTGGGACTTTATCATCGTCTCGTTTAAGGACATCGGCTACTCTGGGTTCCTCCTGGTGCAGAGGGCCCTGGGTTCCTCCTGGTGCAGTGGGCCCTGGGTTCCTCCTGGTGCAGCGGACCCCAGCTTGACGTCACACTGTTGCAGTAAATCCTTAACACACAACACGACAACTTCATTCACAAAAGGACAACGGACTGCTTTCTGAAATAGGGCCCTGATATGACGTTGATTCATTCCAGAAGTCTGGCTTGACCATTTTATTTTATTGGTTTTCACTCAAATGTGCATTTACTTTTTCTGATTCTATGGTTTATCTTTCATTTTATCTAATGTCAGTTTCACTTGTATGTTAACATCTTGTATTGGTCTATTTATTGTAAATTATTCTGTTTTTGGTTCTTTTATTTATTTCAATTAAATTTTCCTCTTATAATGGTCTACTTTTATTAACTTCATTATCTTTGTATCCTTTATTGGTTTATTCTTTAGGCTTTATTCTTAGTTTTAATGGATTTGACTCACTTTTATGATCAGTTCCTGGTTTTGTTCTGTGTCTGCAACTTCTACCTCGCATTAACACAAAGTGTTAATTAAATGTTCTGTGTAAAGTCTTGCTAGCTTGTTTGCATTTTATGTAAAAAAAGTCAGTAGCAATTTATAACGAAACATGCTATAAATATATATTCTACATAAACTATAGATAAACTTTAAAAAAAAAACATTATTCAATTAAATTAATATTTCCTTATTCTATTTGGTATTATTTGTCATATACACATATGCAGTGATGGTAATAATGTTGTTTAATGTCAAGTCTCTATTTGATCATGTGACAAGACCATAAGATTATATGGTAGCTAGTTTGAACAGTTAAAAAGTCATAGTATAGCACGTTGAAAAAACAAATGAATGACTTATGCAACAGTCACGGTATGTTCTGTTTGGTCATAGGACCATAATTTCTGTTTATCACCCATTACTTTAATTTCTGTTTACCTTATTTTACATTCAACATTTTAATTAAGTTGGCCTGAAATTATCTTAATTTCTGTTCGGTCTTATGACCTCTTATTTCAGTTTGGTCCTTGATGCAGAGGCTGAGGTTCAAGAAAGAAAGATGAACGAATAAAAACAGATAAACAAATGAATGACTGAGACTCGTGTTGTGTTTTCCCACATCCTTTATTTGTAGTAACTTCAATCTACCAACAGTCACCATTTCAATGTTCACATTCACATCAGGATTTTCCTTCAACTGGATCTTGAAACCTTCTTGCTTTCTTTCAGCTGAAACTTCTTTTTACTTCATGTCACTGAAACAGAAATTCTGTCTCTGCATTCATTTAAGCTGTGTACATTTAAAGTAGGCAGGTGAAATTAAAGAGGAAATTAAAAACATAATCCTAAATTTGGAATCTGCTGCCACAGAAGTTTCTGTCTGAGAGGACGACTCCATATGTTTGAATGCTCTTTGATGCTTTTAGGGTTTATAAAGTCCTCTTTACAAATAAATCCAGTTACACTGATGTGGTGTAATAAAAAAAAAACAATAAAACAGCCAAACTTTTCAACTGCAGTGTATATTTCAAAAGAACCCACAGGACCAGGAAGTAGTGCATGGACTCAATAAAACCCTTCATTGATTATTTTGTACTTCACTGGACTATACTTCAATTATTTCACCACAGATTATATATGCATGAATCAGTGGGTCGAATCAGCAGCCCACGGATTCTGGAGAGATAATAAACGCCATCTCAGGTGGATGAAACGAAGATTATCTGCCGACGCTGTTTCACAGCAACGATAACTTCTTGTTGGGATGAAGCTCAAATCAGGAATCACCTGAGAAGACAAAACTATGATGGGTCATGGTTTAGACTTATACTTGCTGATCACGTTCATGCTAATGAGAAGAAGAACCCTTTTTAAATTAATGACCCTATGACCTTTCCTCTAGCGCCACCCACAGGACAAACTCTACATCTTTAGCTCCAAGAATAGCAAATCAGCTCTGACTAATTAATTTCTCAAAGAACAAATTAAATTCAAACATACTGCGTTATCGAGGGGGAGCTGTCTTTAATTATTCCAGGACATAGAGATGAGGGCTGAGTTTCCACCTGCAAATTTAGACCTGAGAGATCTGCGCCTCCTTTTACTGCCACAGGCCTGTAAAGGAGGACAGAAAGGAGGGTCAGGTGTGTCGGCTTTGCCAAGGTCAGCACTTTAATATTTAGCTTTCTGTATCAAAATATAATATGGTGTCCTTTTAGTTCTACATTTATAAGCAGTGTAACATGTGCTGTAACCTGCATTATTCTTTATTTTAAGACACAGAAACACATTAAATATTTCTTATACTTTTTTTATTTCTCATACTTCAAATTGAAAACTGGCTAAAAAATTCTTCAATGTTGGATTTTTTTCAACCCAGTTAGCAAAAAAAATGTTGGCATGTACATTTCTGCAAACCTTGTATACATTATGTTTAGATGTTATTTTGTAGCTGATGCATAGAGACTTTAAGTTTCAACAATGCAGTGTTTAACATGAGGTTATGTTTAGGCACAAAAACCACTTAGTCAGGAAAAAAATCCTATGACAGAAATCACAAAAAAAAAACGTCTTGGTATAGCATGTCATCAAAAACCATGAAAAAAAAGTCATAGTATAGTATGTTGTCAAAAACCACAAAAAAAAGTCATAGTATAGTATGTCGACAGAAATCACGAAAAAACGTCTTGGTATAATATGTCGTCAAAAACCATGAAAAAAACATCATAGCTTAGCATGTCGTCAGAAATCATGAAAAAACGTCTTGGTATAGTATGTCGTCAAAAACCACAACAAAAACGTTATAGTATAGTATGTCATCAAAAATCACGAAAAAACGATGTGATAAAGTTTGTCGTCAAAAACCATGAAAAAACGTCATCGCTTAGTATGTCGTCAAAAACCATGAAAAAAAGTCATAGTATAGCATGTCGTCCAAAATCATGAAAAAAAGTCATAGTATAGTATGTCATCAGAAATCATGAAAAAATGTCTTGATATAATATGTCGTCAAAACCATTAAAAAAATTTAATGAGGTTTAGGTTCAAAATAGACAGTTTTCTTGGCAATATCCAAGCGGGAAAATTAGCTGCTACTATACTACGTCACTTTCGACATCACATTGATACGGATGAAATGTGTGAATGTGACGTCTTTGTGTTTTGTAGAAACGTACAGTGTTAATATTTTCTTCTGATGACCGGGGTGAGTTTGTTTGCGGGTTAAACTGTGCAACACTTTACACACGATTAATGTAAAGTACCAATGATAATTAATTCTGCATAATGAGTACTTTTACTTTTTGCACTTTAAGCACTTTGTGCTGCTCATACACAGTAATAAATTATTATTATTTCTTAAGTAAAGGGTTTGACGTCCATTACCATAGCTGTACTTAATAAAATAAAATTCGAACAATGTAAATTAACTGAAATGACCAATCAAACTACAGTAACACTGCACGAAATTTGTATTACATACTAGTATATCACAAATATAAACATACTGCACATAGATTTTGACTTAATGAGCTCCAGCATTAAAATTGAAGGTTATATACAATGTATTCAACCCCAAGTTACTCTGTTTCTGATTAGATTGTACTTTCTCTCGCCTGTAAGATTGGAAATAGTTTGAGCCTGAAACAACAGGGGGAAATCATTCGAAAGTGATCTGATACCATCTCATCGTATGAAAGAGAATGATGATCTTACAGCAGCCGACCATTGACCTCCAGTTCTGCAGAGTGATGGCTTTCTTCAGGCTGCAGGACTCAGCGTAAGCCTCAAAAAACTGGCATCTGAGACCGTCCACCTCTGGGTACCGGCACAAAACGTTAGTGCAGGCGTTGACGTAGGGCCTTGGGTCAATGGTGTTGTGGCAAGCAGTGAAGGGAGCCCTTCTCATGAGCTCACAGCTGTTCCGCGAGGAAGAATGAGAGTAAATCAGCAGTTTTCTGAACAGTTTTGTGTGTTTAGTTTTCAGAATCATCACTTGTCATGTGACGGTGATTAGGTTTTACATGCACAAAATATTCTAATTTTTGTCTTTATTCAAAAAAAGACAATATTCCTACTTTACATGGGGAATAAAAATGAGTATTCCACTGTTATTCCTGTTTACATGCAGCCATGCATACTCATTGCTGCTACTCTCTCTGCCTCAGGCTTTCCATGTATGCACATGGAAGGGCAGGGAGGTGTGTTCTCTCTGACTTAAAGGGCTGAACACATGCCATGATTTTTGCGCTCTCAAACCCATTGTTTTTAAATGTAAACAGGTGGCAGGTATGCTCAAACGCCAGAGCAATGCTGTCACAACGTGCATGCATGTCCAAGTGCTATTCTTTAATTCCACGACAGCTGGGCCCTGAGATAAAGAGAGTTCAGTTTTTGAAACGCGAATCACATATCATGTAACAAGAAACAACCAATCGCAGCTGGCAGATATCTTTCCCTTCTTCTGTAAATATCAGTCTGTGATAAATATGACGGAGAAGTTGATCATTTTCATTCAAGATGACCCAGAGCTTTAGCTCTCAATATTTTAGGCCCAATACACACTTACAAAACAGCACCTGGAAGAAAATCAGCTCTGCACTCAGGATTTTATGTAAGTAGGCTATGATGTGGTGCTTGTCATGGTTGCTTAGCAACTTTATACACAACCTGTCTCCATGCCCTTGAAAGTTCACATATGCACATGGAGGGGCATGGAGGTGCTCTCTCTCTGCCTTTGGCTTTCTGCGTATGCACATGGAAGAGCATGGGGTGTGCTGTCTCTGCCTCAGGCTTTCCACATATGCACATGGAAGGGCAGGGAGGTCCCAGAGCAGAGCCATATCGCCAAATATCTTACAAAGTAATAGTTGTCTTTGAGTTAAGTGGTCCTGATGGAGGAAAATCCTCATTTGGGTAGCTGTGTTCAATCTCTTACTCATTTGACGAAAAATGATTCTGAATGTGCACATGGCCAGAGAAGGCTCCTAAAACCCGAATAACACTGGCATATTCCATATATCTCCATTAGAAAATGCTACACTTAGAATAAGGCCTAATTTGAATATGAAAACGCTGTTTACATGCCCCATATCAAATTTGGAAAAGTGTCATACTGGGAATAATATGACAAAATTACATTCCTTGTAAACGCAGTAAGTGTCATAGCACCATAGAAGCGTGTGATAAAGATGAGTCCTATTTTTACGCAGTGTTTTGTGTGTTCTGGTGGGTCGGTTCTTACTGATCAGAGGAGCGGCTGCAGTTGATCGAAGTGTCGTTGGTGTCGCTGTGCTGAACATCACAGCTGGGGGGGGGGGGGGGGGACAAACAGCATAGCACATTAAATGTGAAAGCTACACAACATTAATAAACAAGTTACTATCAGTCAGTGCATCAAGTGAAGACAAAGTCGTAGGGCTGAGCAATATATCAGTATTACATTTATCGTGATATGAGACGAGATATGGTCTTCGATTTTGGATATGGTAATATGGTAAGTATTCCTGGTTTTAAAGGCTGCATTACGCTTAAGTGATGTAATTTTCTTAACTTAACTGACTGTTTTACTGTTTGCCTTTACCCACTTGATCAGTCAAAAATCTCATGTGTAAACATTCTGTCAAAACACCAATGGTCTATCCTACAATATCTCAAAAATATCGGTATCAGGACATTTGTACAAAAAAATGATGGAAAATTGATTTTTCATTTTTGTCGTACCCAGCTCGACTGAAATTGGTGGTTTTCTCTGCGTTCAGGGATGTAGTGATGTTGGGATTATTGAGGTTGCCACACAAACCCACTACACGTTCTGTTTCAAGTCCTGTTGGATGTCAGGAGACAAATAAAGACAAATCAACCAATGTAAGAAGCACCACTGTCATTCTTACATTCATATATCACCTGTGAAAAAGGCGAGAAGTGATCAAATATTTTTTCCAGGTAGTTTTCTGTACCTCTCACATGTGCGGTGTTGCCATCAAAAAAGATTGTTATGGATGTGGACTGTATCTTGGCAGTAACTCCAGTATGGTCCTTGGAGAGCTCCACACCATGAATCACCTGAGTCGTTGCGTTGAGTATTACTGGTTGGTCACCAAACTACATCACAAGTGAAAGAGACACTTGCTCAAACATCTCAGATACATACATGCATGTGCTTTGCATGTTCCCCCTTGGACTGTGAATTCTGTGATGTTTATTGGTATCTTTCTTACTTTACTTTAATTCACACCCTGTACAGTTATCATGAATGGTAAAATTATATGGAGACAGATTTGTATCAATATTATTTGTGTGAGCAGTCTGATAATCTGTGCCTGAATGTGTAAATATAAAACAACTTCCACGAATACAAAATGTCACCAAAATATCTTGCAAATATAAAACAAACTCCAATAATAATAATAATAATAATAAAGACTCAGTGTGTGTAAAATGCAAATGTGCAAATACAGAATTGAGATTCACAAATATCTGTTTCAGAGTGGTGAATGTTAAAATTAGAAAAGTACTCGGAGAGCGCAAACCTCCGCCAAGCAGCTCGGATTTCCCTCCATTTTATTATTTTATCCACTTTGCTTCAACCGATCACCACCAAAATTTTATCATCTGTTCCTTGTCCCATTATCCACCTTTCCTGAAAATTTCTTAAAATCCGTTCAGAACTTTCTGAGTTATTTTGCAGACAAACAAACAAACAAACAAACAAATAGACAAACAGACCAATGCCGGCGAAAACATAACCTCCTTGGCGGAGGTAAAGATATTCACAAATGTTTCTCATTTATTTGTAATTGATGTGATGTATTCACAGACTTTTTAAAATTATTTGTAGAATTTTTTTTGTGTTTTTGCAGATCTGTTTTATGTTTACCTCCGCCAAGGAGGTTATGTTTTCGCCGGCGTTGGTCTGTTTGTTTGTTTGTTATAACTCAAAAAGCTATGAACGGATTTTAAGAAATTTTTAGGAAAGGTGGATAATGGGACAAGGAACAGATGATAGAATTTTGGTGGTGATCGGTTGAAGCAAAGTGGATAAAATAATAAATAAAGTCTATCGTCTGACAGCCTCAGCAGCAATTAAGACGGTGAAAATAGCGCCATCTGGTGGCCGAAAAGCACTTCTTGTTCTACTTGCTAAATATTGTTGTAATTCTAAAGTTGAAATTAATGTTCTGTGTTAGAAAAAAAATAATGTTAAAAATACAAAAAAACATTTTATATTCTGTGTTGGTACAAAATAAAAATGAAATAAATACACCACAGTGTCTCCATGGTGAAGGCATATATGACCTAATAATGACAGTGATGCAAATAACCTAATTGTGATGCAGGCTGCAAAATCTGATGCAGAGGGGGAGGGAATATCAGCTTTGTACCAGGCTGTAAAAATGTTTCTTTCTGCTGTAGAGTTCAGTATTTTAACATTGGTGTCTATGGGGACTGACTCGACATGCAGTCAGCCTCAAGTAGACATTAGAGGAACTCCTGCATTTTGGCACTGCTGCGTTGGCTCCATTTTTGCCACTTGTTTCTTCTCCTATATATCTCAGAGGGACAGGTGCAACCACACGTCTTAACTTCAAATACATCAACACAAAGTAACTCTTGGAATGTAATGACCAGTAGTGACTGATCAAACAAAGAAGATCTACTGTGGATTTCTGACACAACCCCATAAACACAGAGTGATTTGCTTTTAGATGGACTGTGGCAGCTCACCCGAACTCTTCCACCTTGTTCAAAAAACACTGATACACCCGGTGGAATCACCGTCAGTATCAAGCGGTCCAAAAATGCCACATCTTTGCGGCGGCACTCCCAAAAAACTGCCAAGAGCTCAAAACTCGAGTTTTGTTCAGACTTAATAATTGTGTACGGACACCGATCTGGGATAGAGTAGTCCTTGTTGAAGAAATCGATGACAGTGGAGCCAGTCACAGTGCACACGACCTTGGGTATAGCGCATCTGATGGAGATGGAAAGAAACAGAAATTCTGTGACTTTTTATTTCTGAAGACAAAATCCAAAGAGCACAGAGACAGATGTTTAATCTCATAAAGTCATCTTCTCCTGTTCATATAAATTTTAAAGAAAATGAATCTGTACGTCATACTTAAAGGGGCACTCCACTAATTAGACACATAAATATCGGGACTCATAACAGCGAGTACCGTCCAGCCAGAGGAAAGACTTGTATAGTGTAATATCTCTCTAATAACTCTAACATCATACGCAAGTCCATATCAATACATATCTTGAGTTTGGCTTAAGCGTTCAAATATTAGTTATACATTGGGGCTGTGGGATGCTGTAGGGCTGCACAATGGGAAATGTAATGTTCAGTGTTTTCAAGCCTTTCACTTGCACAGAGCCGACACATTTGTGCAGTTTTGGCACAAACATCTACTTGGACTCAAGGATGAACTGATTAAAATTTGGTGGTCATGTGTCAAGGTCACTGTGACCTTGTGTCTCATTCTCATGAATGTGATATCTCAAGAAGGCCTTGAGGGAATTTCCACTTGAACTCAAGGATGAACTGATCAAAATTTGGTAGTCAGAGGTGGAGGTCAGTGTGACCTGATCCATCACATTCTTGCTGATGTGATATCACCTTGAGGGATTTTATTTTATTTTTTTTTCCAAATTTACCACAAAACATCAACTTGTAGTCACTGATTAACTTATTTGAATTTGCTGGCCATAGGTCAAAGGTCAAGGTCACTGTGTACTTGCATCAATCTTATTCTTGTGAATGCAATATTTTAAAAAGGCTTTGATGGAATTTCTTCAAATTAGGAACAAAATGTCCACTTGGACTCAAAGATTGTATTTTGGTCAGAGGTTACGTTCACTCCGACGTGGTCTGTCTCATTCTCATGAGTCTCATTCTCTAGTCTAACCTTGACTTTACTGAGGAAAGTCAGGCTATCTTGGCCTTTGCTGCTCCGATTGAATCATTTCTTTATCTTTAATACTTCAGTATCGCTGGAGTCCTTTCATGATGACTTTAATATGTCTAAAATGGTGACAATACCTGAAAAGGACTATCTGTAGGTCAATGCTAAATCAGTGGAGTGATGATTTAAGTTTTATAGATAGAAAGATTTTTCAAGAATAGAAACCATTGATAAAGCCCGAATCTGAATAATATCAGAACTTCCTCATCAAGTGTTTGTTTTGTGGCGTTCACAGGTGATGTTTGTTTGAATATGCATCGCCTTCATTCCACTTCATTTAAATCAGTCAGTCAAACCTTTATTTAAACTATACTCTAAATATAAAGCAAACATATTTACATGTTGTTGCCATGGCAAACCTCCCGGCCATGACATGCACTGGAAGGTCTGGGCACTGCAGATGGATCACAGAGCACGTTGGTGCAGGTGTCTGGTATCACTATCACTGAATTAGCTTGAATGGGGGTACCTGGGGGGAGATACAAGGTTTATGAAATTAATTAAAACTTCACCAACAGTGCAAAATGTAAGAAACAGAAATATCAGTCATTTTACATTATCACAGTATTGTTTTGAAGATCCCTGAAGAGTCCAAGTCTCTTCTTCGGGAACCACCAGATTTGCCTACCTAAGTGTCGGCATCCACTTGTCTCCAGGAAAACGATGTCAGACACTTCTTTTCCAGTGTATGTCCAGTTCCCTGCAACTGAGCCATTAACTGTTGTTGTTATGGTCTAGAAAAGGATTAGACAAAAATCAAGGTTACAACTTCTGAATGCACAGTGTCAGACTTGAATCCCATTTTTATATATAGATTACTCCAATTTTAGGACAGTTTGGTGGGACAGTGAGAACAGTGGTGACCTGAGCATTAGATGAATCAGTGGCTGTATGACCAGTCGGTTTAGTTCCCAGAATGGCAGGGCAAATTTGAGCAGCAATCCAAGAGCAGCACAGTTTTCACTTAAGCTCCACTTCCCCAAACCCCCAAATATGGAGACATAACACTTTTATTCAACTGAAACTGAGTGAAAAAGAAACTGTCCTGTAAAAATATATGCCTGATAAAGAACCTAGCACACAGTAAAAAGGTTTACATGCATCTATCGATATAAACCAATAAAAAAAGCTTCCATCTTCCCTCATTGCCATTCCATGGGTAAGTATATGGTCAGCTACAGTTGCATTAATCCCATCAGACACTGTCCTTCCTCTCGCTCTTCTTCTACTCTCCCGTGTCATCTGTCTCTACCTTAGTGTTTCTTAACAGGGGCGCTCAGAGAATGTCGAAGGGCTCTGGAACAAAGTTTTGAGGGAGGTATTGATGTGCTCTGCTTTTCAATGCCAGTTTATTCGGACATGCGCTTTTTCACATTTTTTGTTAGACTTGCTTCTACCACCATCAGCATCTGGGGCATTTTTCCAATGAGGCCTTCCCTGCGAAAGACGGGGCTTTCTTTTTTCTGAATCACTTGCGGCACACTCTCGTGCTTCGGACATGCTCCTCCATCAATTCTTTTAATGTGCATCAAAGTGGTATATGCCTCTGCTGTGGTGCTTTCTCTTTGCATAGGTACAGACATCCTTTTGTGGTTGTCAGGATGCTGGTGACTTGTTCACAGCTTAAGATGGTATTGATAACTGGGCATTGGCATTTCCACCTAGGGAAGTGTGAGCTGTGTGTGTTTTAGCTGTGATGACTTGAGTTAATGAAATTGAATGCCAGTGCTTTCTAAACGAGCACGTTACAGTGATGTACGAAGGGATCCGTGTGCAGAGTTTTTTACAAAAAGTTCAGCAAATCTGTGAGCAGATTTTTGCTGAAATTAAAGTCTTTGAAGTGAGACGCAACAAAAATCCGACACCTGATTAAGATCTAATTTAACATTTCTCAAAACAAACCACAACAAGTAAGATACTCCACTGCAGTGTTGACATATTTCAGGAAAAATAAGAAAGCATTTAGAGTTTTATTTAGAAATCTGCAAATTATCGCAGCATTTTGCTTAAATTTAAGCTTTCTGAAAGTGAAATGAAGTTCCCCCACTGTAGTGTCAATTTATTATAACAAAACTGCGAAAACATTTTGATTTTCATTGAGAAATTTCAGAAATTCTATGAGATTTTTGCTGAAATTTAAGTTTTTTCTGAAAAGGAGTGATGAGAAATGAGAAACATCCACCTGAATTGATTTTTTCTAATTTTTCACAAGATTTGTCAAAACTAGCCACAAAAATTAATAAATAAATAGTCTGGGCAAAAAGGGTCTGTCTATTAGTAGATTGCGTCATATTTTGGGTTGTTGACATAATAGGCCCACTTATGGTGTGTAAGCGCTCGGAAAAAAATCCTTGCCATACAGCAGATTGGTGTGGGGACCGAAGTTGCCATAATAACAGACTCTGGACCATCTTCAAAGTTTTGTCTCACATATACTTACAAAGTTAGCAGGAGAAAAATCTTGGTCTGCACTCATCTTCAAAGGTGATAGTCGACCAAAATCATAGATCTCCATAATCAACTGAAAGACATACGACAGAAAATATCAGGAAATGTTTTCCAAAATATTTTAGGAATAAACTTTGATTTGAAGTCTCTCATTCATGAAATATTAGTAAATCTGTGGGTAGATTTGCATGTAAAAAAACCTACGCGGGATTCATGAACCCCACCGGAAACTCTTTGATTGTAGGCACGTGTGTATGTTCATGAATGCCAATCGATCGTAAACTGACTGCGCATTCCCACTAGTCAGCAATTAGCATACATCCCCGCCCATGAATAGACAATGACCGCCATATAAGGAGATGGTCATTAGTATGGATAGGTGCATCCTGTTGCCATTTTGACAAAAACATTCTATTTTCTTCTGTTAGTAGTGGTGTGACAGGGGCAGGTACATCAGAGGTCTGAAAAGAGGTAACGGGCGACTTTGTGTCCTCTGTTAAAACAACTGTCCAAAAAGTTGAATGAAAATGGTTCAATATGACAGCTACAGGAGGCAGTCAAGAGCAAACTCAGAGGGTACCATGATGTATGTGTTATATTGAATGTTAAATTGCTGTACACATCACTGACACCATCACTGACAGCTCAGTGTCCGGTCAGTAACATGGGTCTCACCACTCAAACAGATACATTTGTGGAGTTCTCTCTCCTGACTGAAGCAAGTGAGAACGGGACGTCAGAAAATGTAGAAAACACACAATTTGAATAACTCCTTCACGTTCTTAAGAAACCTAATGTGAAGCTAAAAAAAATCTGTTAACTGATAACTAATTTATCTAAATATGTTTTGCATCTGTGTAGTGTGAACATAACAGGGCATGACATGAATTAAAATTGTAATTTCTAATTATGACGAGCAGTTTATGTGCAACCCTTATTTACACAAGCACTACGAGCAGTCAGACGCAGGCGCTGATTTTGTGACTACCTACAAAGAGATCAGAGCTACGAGCACATTATTGAATCCAGAAATAAACGTAAATTTCCTTCCTTTGAACAGTTTACACACAAATCCTTTCCGCTAATGTTTCATGAATGAGACCCAATGTCGTTGAAAACCTCATGCACTCCACCCCATTTTGTAGCAAAAACACCTAAAATGACATACCCAAATTAAAATGACTGTAGCTTCTGAACTGCTCTGACTACATGCATGCATGAGGTCTTGCCAGAAAGAAAACTCCCTGAAGTTTCTTGTTAAAGTGTCAGAAACACTCTAGGTGATACAGAGACAGAGTAATGGGCCTCTGAAGTCAGTAAAAAGTTGAAGATTTTGCCTAAAATAAAATAAAAAATGTGTTTCAGGATGAATAACTGTCTGTGGCTTCATCTGAGCAGGTAAATGACACTGTGGGGCTGTAGGCACACTATCAATGAACACTTGTTTCAAATTTGAAGAAGACTGCTCAAAGTATGACCATTCTACAGTGTTTTTACCATGAAAAGATCCAGGCGGAGCTCCAAATGACAAGT